GCTCCCGCCCCGCGCCTTCCCTCAGGGGCTGGGCCCCTGCGCTACCCCCCGCCTCAGACGGCGGCGCCGGGCGATCCCCGCACCCTCCCGCCACCGCCGGGAGCTTAAACCAGGCAGGCCGAGCGCGGGGCTCCGTGGCGGCGGTGGCGGCGGCTCCCCCCTTGTCACCCGCGGGCACGGCGCGGCGGGGCCAGGCGGCAGCAATGGCGCGGGCGCGGCGGGCCCGGGGCGGCCGGCGGGGGCCGCGGCCTCAAACCTGCTGTGACCGGGGCTCTCCTCTCCACCGGGGCGGCCGCGCGCACGGGCATTCACCCCCATCTCAAGTTAAATTCCGTCGGTCCCACACAGCGGTACGGCCACGGGAGCGGTGCCTGGAGACTGAAGGAGCTGGAAGAGATTTTGCTGAGGCCATGGAGTCTCGATGGCAGAAACACGGGTGTCTGACGGGGGCGAAGCACCGGCACGCACCCCAAACCCGCAGCTGCACCCCAAACCCACAGCCGCCGCTGGTGCGCCCTAGGGACGGGCCGCTGGAGTAGGGCTGGGTCCCCTCCTGCCCCCGTGGTGTGTGGCCGGTAATGGCCCCTCACCCCAGGCCACCTCAGCTCTGTCTGCACAGCTGCGCAAGGCAAGCACAAGCCTTTCACATCTGCAGGTGCTTTCAAATCGGGGTCTCTGCATGTCTTGTTTTGGTCAACGGAATCTTTAGGACACCCTGTCCCTTCACCTGTCACTGCAGGAGACTAACAAATTAAGGCACTTCAGGTGTGCTGAACTGGAGTGCTCACCTGGCAGCACCACAGCTCATTGAATTCACAGCTGAGAAGCAGCAGCTTCTTTGACTCCCTGATTGCAAACCTTGATTTTATTACAGGGCTTCATACCTAGGCAACTCCAGTGCTCTGCAGACCAGGTAGCCTTAGGACTACTCAGACTAGAATGGAGACCTCAAAGCTTTGGGCATCCACGTGGATGCACAGAGGGCAGGCAAGGTGGCTGTACGGGACGGGCGGCCAAGTGGTGATACAGGTGTGCCCTCTCCATGGAATCAGCCAGAGAAGATTTGATTTTCCATTTTTATAATATATATGAACAGGATTACAAAACTGGAAGAGTTTAACTTATTGACTGGGAACGTCTCCCAAACAGATTAAATTTTAAATTCTCCTGATTACACATGCAACTTTTCAACTGAACTCTACAGTGTGTCTGATTTAATTCATTCACAGCTGGAAACAATCACCCCAAACTTAAACTGAACTGTCACTATACAACTCGTTCACAAACCTAATTGTACTTGTTTGAGAACTACCTTGAACTATTATACTTCATAATTTTAACGAAATGGGCCAACTTCACAAGACATCTTGCCACTTAAACGAGGATTTTGTCTAAATAATGGAGCACCTTAGTTGTCAATTAACTTCATTAGGCACCAAAGTTCTGCCTACAGCCAGGAATGTGTTGGTTCTGTTAGAATAGAACATACCAGGAGTTTCTCCCAACGGGCACAATCCATGATAAAACACTAGAAGAATACCCAAGACATATGTACAGGTCTATCTCCAAGTCTAAGAACAGCAACAATTATCTCTGTTCTCCAAAACCTGAGAGGAAGCATCCCTTTTGCATTCAGTAACCTGAGAGTATTCACTCACTAAAGAACAAGAACCAAGCCCAATTTTTTTGTCTGGGAGAACTGAAATGCAGGTCTCCTACAGGAATAATTTTAATCGCTAGTCTGCCAGGCACTTTGAAATAAGGAAATGAAGCATAGTCAGCCCAGCTTGCCATAGCTGAGCAGTTTTGACTGTAACAATAAGAATCTACTACATCAAAGACTGAGTGGAAACACGAGTGAAAATGACTTTCAGAAAGGAGATACCCAGACTCTGCTGTGTGGACTCCTTAAAATACTTTACCCAGTGACCATCCTTGCAACAAGCAGTCCCTGGCATTAGGTGAGTACCCCGGCCATTAGGCAAGGGCCACCTGCATGTGGCATTCCCTCTCAGATCCAATGAGTATTCAATTTCAAGCAGAGGAAATAAGCTCCAAATGGAGATCCTTTAAGCCAAAAGAGCCTGTTTGCCTACGAATTAAGGGCAAAAAATGTAGGAAAGTAAATTGTCTGTTGAATGGGAATTGTTCACTAAACAAAGTGAACAACATTCGGACTGAATGCTCTGCTGAGCACTGTGATATTTCTTCTACACACACCTAGAAAGAAAAATCTAGTTCCTGTCAGGATTAGGCAGAAAGTCTTTGTATGAAGATTACAAATTTGGATGTGTGTGCTTTGATTCTGCAATCATCACATTTAAAAGATCGATTTCCTTAGTAAATGTGTATTGCATTTAGATATGCCAGGTACTAGAAATCCTTCTTTTTCCCAGACATCATCCATACAAGGAATAAAAAAAAAGTACTGAATAAAAAAAAAATACTGAAAGTATTCTAAAAAGCCTGAATAAAAAAAAGCTACAGCAGGAAGACCACAGTATTCACTAACAAGCATAGGAAACAAGCGAGCAATAAGAAAACTGAACCAAACAACCTGTCAACCTATTTAGGAACAGTAATTCAGATTTAAAAACCAGAAAAAGTGACACAGCATGTGCTTTAAGAATTACAGATTAGATTGCAACACCTAAGCAGTCTGTGAGCATTAGCTTCTCCTGTAGCAAAATAAACCTGGAAAATATCCAGAGCTTGTGCATGGACACTACAAGTCATGGTGGGAAAGATAAACGGAGCCTGACCAGCAACAGCAGCAGCAACAGAGCAAGTGCTTCAGATGGTTCAAGGAAAAAACTCAGGAAGAAAGAGATTTTGAAAGGTCAGCCTCCGACCAGAAAAAAACCCCAGAAAGCAATTTTAGAGCACGAAGGTCGAGTGAGCTATTTTGATTATGTGGTTTTAGTGTGAAAAGTCAGAAAACTTCCCCTGTATAACTATATATAATGCTAATGCTACAGAATGAGAATGCAGCTCTATGAGTACAGAAAGAGCAACAGCTCTTTTGATAAGTGTTTCGAGAGATTGTCCTGAAGTTTGAAACAGCATCCTCAAAGATCCAGGCTGCAGTCCACTGTTATTAGGCAAAGTGGCAGAGCAGTGGGTTGACCTAGAACAGTCCAGCATTTTTCAAAACTAAACCAGTGAAATCAGGATTACACAACAGATTTCATAGTATAAGAAAAGATCAGAGTTCATTAAAAAAAAAAAGGGACAACGAAATTTACAAGGAATTTTCTACGTGCTCATGGCTCAGCACTGGAATCTGAATAGTGTTCATTTAATGTGATATTGGTACTAAATTAGCATATTTGTACTAGAGGCCAGCGACAAGTAAACACACACCACAAATAATTATGTTTTTGGAAAGAAAAAAAAAGGCAACTATTCTAAACATAAATTTCTAGCACTTGGAATCTGATGCTTTCAAGAAGACCCTTATTTGAGCAAATGGCCTCTCTCACTCTTAAAAAGAGAACTACTTCGGTCTAAGAACATGTTGCTTCAGTCTAAAAACACTGTGAAGGCACATTATGAACAGGCCCAGATATGCAGCAATAAATTGCCTTTATTTTTACTATAGCAAATGAATTAATTTAGATAATGGATAAAACAATAAAAATTGTATTCATTCAAAAGTTGACAAAGCTGTGGTAAGAGAAAGTGGATCTGAATGCCTCTCAATTTCCAGAGTTCAACAGTGGACATGCCAGAAGAAGTAAAGGATACTTCAAGACTGAAAATAAAGACAGCTTGGATACTGGCATGCAATTTTTTCCAGCTTTTATGGAATATTTGATTTTCCAAGCCGGCATGAACAAGAGATTTTATCTCAACAGAGATGTCAATGATTTTTAATTATACCTCAAGGTTAAAAAAAAAAAAAAAAAAATCATCAGAACATAACATTTTAGAAAATACAGAAGAATGGAGGTAAATAATACATCCATTATTCCAGAAGCAAACTCAGGATGACTGAGATACTACCACTAACAGTAATGACGTATACTTTTATAAAGTCATCCAAGTCAGTTATTCTCTGAACAGATCAATTGCTTATCTCACAGAAATTATTTGAAAATGTTGCACTTATTTTAGTGTTTTTCCCTACTATTATGATACCATCACAAAATAATAAAAAAAAAAAGGGCAATTATCTCACCAGCGCACAATAAATTAATCCTCAAAGGCCAGAAATGAATCCGTAATGTTTAAAAAACAAAGAAGATACTGTAGCTCTAGGCATTGTCTGTTTAGACTCTTTAATTTTTTTAGACTCTGAAGCCTGATGCGCCTAAACTGCCGTGATGAGCCAAAAATCATTCTCCCAGCTAGTAGATGCATTTGTTTGTTGCAGTGGATAACAGCAAACCGGTATTTCCTTAGAAAGGTTGATCAAAGAATTTCCTGAATTGCAAATCCTCAAGTTTTCTAATACTGATAAGGGGTTGCAGTTTTATTTTATTGGAATCCTATATCTGTTCTGACTGCCAACATACCGTTTTAGAGTCAAAAGTGATTATTCTAGAAATGCTAAGATGAAACAGGGTGGAACAAAATATAATTATTATTTTAAATTGTCCACAACGCTTATGAAAGTATCAAAAGCTACGGCTGGCCATGCAGTCATGCTTAACCTTCTCTCCCATTTGAACAGCAAGAGAGTCTGGGAAGTTTAAGGGTGGGGTGGAAATCAGGAAATTCAGCACATTATTCACCATCAAGGAAAGAAAGAAAAGGGCTTACTTTATCCTCTAATTATTTTTACTACACTCTCTTTCACCCTCAGCAACACTTGCATGTCAGTAACAAACCCAGTGTAGATGTATGAAATATATTTTGAATATTTACATTCCGAGTCTCCCAAAACTGAATCAACCATATGCAGTGAAATCAGCAATAATACTAATTTGGTAAACATATGAGAGAAATCAGTCTTAATGTATGCTTCTTTTCTATATATACAAATAGAATTCTCTTACCTTTTGTTGGACTCTGGTTCTGATCTATAAATCCTTTCAAGTCTCCATTTGTGGAAGTCACACCAACCTGAACAAAACATTTTTGAAGTCTTAAAATATGATAAACCTTTCTATGTTTTCTAGTAGGCAACTAACAGTATTATGAAAGTAATCTGCTCTGCATTTCTGAAACATCATCATCCTATGAATAGCAGAGTTGAACAAGAGTATGAGATTCAAAGTAAAGGATCCAAGACATTTACTGTGCGTATATGAAGACAAACTCTAATTTTAACTAAGCTCTTACCTAAAAAAACCCTAAATATTCTGATACTGTACTATACATGACCCAAGCAGCACATTCTGGCAATTATGGTGTAAGTCACTGTCCACTTCAAGTCAATTAGAACAGCTGCCACCAATAACACTGCAGAAATCTGCCCGATGTTCAGTACTGTCAGTACTAAGCTGCATGGTCTACAGGTCTGAGGAGATGTGGCTCTTGATGCATTTTAAATACATTCCCTAGTCTTCAGATATAAACTGATTTACCCTGGGGGTAAATTACCAGAGACATGGAGAATTTAAATTATAAACAGAATGGTGCATCTCAGACTTTGGCATGTACACAAAGCACAGAAAGGTGGGGTTTGTATAGAAAAAACACAAGATCACTGTTCCTGGATGAGGGAGAGAAGAGATGGAAAGTCCCTCAGATCCCAGCTAACAAAGGAGGGGCCCAGCACGATGATAAGGTATTCTGCAGTTTCAGAGCGTTCTGCTTGCACCACCTTAGTCACCCCTGTCCAACAAAGCATTTTGTTTTGATTCCAAGACGGAAGCTGTGGCAAGCACTGATTGAGCTCCATTGGAGCAGCAACAATTAAAATAAATACTATAAAATCTCTTTTTAAAATATTATAAAACTTGAGTACTTGTGTAAATAATTGGGACAAAGGGTTCAGGTATCCAAGTTAAGAAAAAACATACAATCAAAGAATGAGTATTTGCTTTATTTTACAGATATATGGAGTAATAATGGAACATATGCTAGGGTCACTCGTAGAATTTTAATCATATCAAATTAGAGAATCATTTGACTGCTGGCAAATTAAATGGTAGTAACATAACACTAAAATAGGCTACAGAAGAACAAAAAGTACCTATTCCAAGCATTTAATCACTCCGTTCCGCTAGAGAGCTTGTATTCAGCAAGTGGTTTTTGAAGGGCAAAATCTGCACACAGCGTTTTGACAGACTCTTTTGAAACTACTTCTATTAAGATTTTTTTCACCATCAGGAGCAACACCTGAACATTAACTGTTGCTGCCCTACCCTGGTCATAGAATACTGCCTAAATGAGCTAAGCTACGTGCTTCTGTAAACAAGCCCGTAGAGCTGCTCAATATAGTTCATCAATTTATCTCAAGCGTTGTCTGTATCAGACTTGCTCTTTCCTATCACGCCCAACCAGATGGTCAGATACTGTTTCCAATGGGCAACCAAGCGCTTTGGTTGTTGCAGACTACACTATCACCAGAAGTGGCTTTTGAAACAGAGCAAGGCTGTCTCATTTTTCCCTCTCTGTTTTCCCTTTTCCCCCGCAGGTGGCAGCGGAGCAGAGGCAATGCAGCAGGGCTGGGGAGGACACGAACAGCAACGCCTGGATTTGAGCAGGGGAAAGAGGAGGAAGACATGAAAACAAACGTTAAACGTCTCCTATAATGTTCTGGTAGCACGTCCACAAAGAAAACAGGAGCATTCGAGTATTCTTCCCCCAGGGTGCTTGGGCAGCAAGGAAAGCCCATGTTAGGGTTCCCTACACTGAAAATGTGTTCTTGAAGAGATCTTCAAAATAGAGGTCAGAAAGGTTATTAAATTGAATAGCAAATAGCATTGAAAGGGCATTACGACTGCAAAGCCAAGATGAAGAGCCAGCACTCTTCGATCATACTACTGCTGCCTTTGCACAATTAATAACAGTATCAGCTTCTTGGACCCTTGCCACTGCAAGACATAGAACACCACAAATAGGAAAAAATTTTAATTCAGAGAATGAACAGGGAGCCACAGGGATAAATATAAAGTATTAGATATAAGGGCTTTAACTCGTTCCAAGAGAAGGGGTAAGAATTACAATTCCCATGAACATCTTCAAAGGCAGCACTGCAATTTGTTCACAACTGAACCTTCAGCTCTAGATTTATAACTCTATTGATTCATACCGGTGCTTCAGCTAAACACTGAAGATGATATACATATGCACCGTCAGCTCAAGATGACTCTCCAGCCATTATGAAAATTTAAACATTTACATTTAATTCTCTGAAAGATTTATATTATTTAACTGGTTCAGTATTTAAGGAAATATAACAAAATACTTGAGTCCTTTTTTTTTTTTTCTGTATCCAGTACTTCATTGATCCAAATTACAGAAAACTACAGCAGGATTTTGTTTTGCATAGAAATATTTCTTTAATATTTCTTTTCATTATGATGGCCCTAGTAACACATTTACAAAGAACATCCAATGAACAGGAGCACTTCTCTCAATTTTATAATCTTCGTATCTAAATTTATAAGAGCTTGAAAACAAAACTGAATTTCACGAGAACTTAAATGAGAAGCCTGGCAGATCTAAAGGAATTTGTTTCTCTTGCAGAAGAGCTATCGTAACTAAGTCCTCAGAGGAAACAAAGTGTGATGCAATACTACAATACTGCAGCAGAACAAGAACTTTATAGTATTCCATTTCAATGTCAGACAGGTCCTAGGCCATGTTGTTATCTGGAGACTGTACCACCCACTACTTTTGGGAATCTTGTCATTTAACCATTCCTAAAATGAAACCAGCAAACAATCCAACACTTACATAGGTATTTCTGCTTTATAGCACTGCCCCAGAGTGTGCGGATTACTGGGTATGGCAGGAGCTGAACTCCTGCTTCTGTCCATCTGCAGCAAGATGAATCCAGCCATGAAGTAAGATGAAACAAGCACTTGGCAGGCCTTTGCATCCTATTAAATGTTTTCATCAATTTTTTTTCCCCTCTCTAAGTAGGTGACTTTGAAGTTTCCGAATGGGGCGAGGGGGAAGAAAAAAAGAATCACAACCAGCGTTTTGGACGGGGCAAGCTGTCACGAGCTGCTCTTGTAGCTTATCAGCCTTCTCCACTGTATTCAGGTAGCAAGTCTCCGCCTGCAATCCTTCCCTTTCCTTAGAGAAATTAACTTGCCCATTAACCTGAAAAGATTTTGTTCTCTCTGCCCTAGAATTAATCCAGATTATAGCATGTATAAGTTGCAAATGGGTAGAGAATCCATTAACTGGCTGTTTTCTTATAAGCCCTAACAAACTCACTTGTAGACATGCTGTAGTAGTATCACTTATGGAAATAACTAAGGACCGAAAAAGGCCACTCTCATCATAAACTAAAGAAACCCGCATGGACTATTAGTGCAGAACAGCTAGTGTCCTTTACATTGGTTTTGAAAAGTTTCCTGTGTAAGACAGGTGTTAAGGCTTGTCTAAGGCCCTCTTGACCAACAGTTAAACTGTTTTCTTCCACACTGACATGTACAAGGACAGCTATTATAGCCATTTAACTGACCTCATCTATGACAAGACAACTACCCTCTGAAAAGCAGTGACAAATAACTTTACAAGCACAAGTATATAAATTCAGATCAGGCAATCAAAACTAACAGTCTTATTCAAATAATCTGCTTGAGTCATATAATTTATCCTTCCTAAAAATAAATTTACCATAAGTATTTACTAATTTTTTCCCCATTTCTCAATATTATTTTGATGTCTTCTTACCTGAAGGACAGGTGGGAGTGGAAGTACAAAACAGGCAAGAAAAATACATTTTATGATATAAGCAAAGAGTGAATTAACCCATTATGACAGGGTGACTCAAATTACATCTGGGTACAATGTGTACAGTAAGCACATAAACATCTCATCTCCAAGAGAATCTGTAACTTTTATTCAACATTTTATTATTCATAGATGGTTTTGGTTGGATTTATTTTGTAAAGAAGGCCAAGTTGCCCATAAGCAGTGTTCCACAAGCAGACATTAAAAAGTATCCTGCTTTAGAGAAAGTGAGCAGTAAACCCAGTCTTGATAATTCTCCAATCACATACTCAAAAAGTTAGCAAGGAAAAACAGTGATGGGGAACGTTAATCATCTCACATGCATATTCAATCCATGGAAACATTTTTGCCATGTGCTTGAAGTGAAAGTTTCCTTGGAGACAAAGTTGCTCAACACAGCTTTTGCATGTGAGATGCAAAGACCTCTTAGCCTAAGCTCACAGCACTTCGCTCTTGCGATGCATTAGCAGCACAAACATCCCTAGACCACTGTGTTCCAGTTGAGGGGTAGTGATTTCAGAACACAGAGGTGACAGCTTCTTGAGATGTACATGTCTGATGAAAGATACGTGCCCTTTAGAGTTTCCCAGAAGACGTCCCAATTCTAGTACTTTAAAGTTCCCTTTCCTTGATGCTTCAACAAAAAGAAAAAAAGATGGAAATACTTCTGCAGAGAACCTCTCTCCCTCATCTCATTCTGCAGATCATTAAAATATTTCAGACAGCAAAACATACAAACACTAATCTTACACTTGAAACAGGTTTCAGGCTGTAGAAACCCATAGCCATAGCTAAACCCTGGAACTCTGCAAATTCAGAAGCATCCTTGGGCCTTCTAATAGAAATAGAAAACACTAGGGCTGACACTACTGGCCCAAGTGTGCAGTTCTGAGTAACTAAGGTTGTGAAATCCTGAAGAAGTGCTACAAATAAGGACAGAAAGTGTATGACCATCCTTGCTTTTACACGTTTATTTTGCAAATCCTTTGAAGACATATACTTAAACATTAAAACTGAGTTCTACTTTCACCTGCACCACAGTAACTGATTTTTTAAAAACAAACCCATAAACATTAACTAAATAACTAGGTTTGCACGGTTTAATATGCAAAATTTCAAACCAATAAAGTATCTATTCTAGAAAACAACTACAGCTTTGTGTTCAAGTGAACAACAAAAACATATTTCAGTAGTCAGCACAAGACTGGGTTACCCAGACTGAATATCATGTCTGTCTTTGGAGGTTTTCAAAACCCAAAGCCCTGAGAAGTCCCGAACAAAGCACCAAGCAACTGGGTTCTGAATTCAAGTATCAAAGAGCTTTATGCAAAGCACCAGAGTAAATGCCTCCTGAGATCCCTTCCAACCTATGTCACTCTATGATTCTAAACCACAACACTATGGATTTTATTGACATTGGCATTTATCCTTTGACTGCATTGAACGAAAGGTCAAAATCACATATGATTTGGATTTGTGCAGCTGCTCCACACATATCAGTAGAATTACCTGTTTATACTACAGTTGAATATGGCCTACAAAATCAGCAAGTCAAAAGGGTTTGCATATAAATGCCAATTTATTTTCTGGCTTCAGTTTGAATCAAAGTTTGAAGACCTTACCTAGAACTACACATCAAATCAAATTATTAATAAAGTAAACAGAAATTTCCAAGACTTGAGAATTTTTTTAACCAAGCTATGCCCCTTGGCATGAATCTAACCAAATATACACAAAAGCTTTTGCAGCTACTAAACAGAGAGCCATCCTAGAGCCACCTGCACTTTTATTGTGGGGTACTTCTTTAGTCACATTGGTTCCTAAACCTGTTCAGATTTAACTAGACTGCAGGATGCCCTACCAAATGCAGTCAAAGTCATACTCAACTCACTGACCACAAAGCTTAATCAGAACTGTTCTCTATACAAACTGTGTACCTCAGGAAGCACAGCTAATTAGGCAGAAAATTAAGGTCAGGATGTTAGACATTTCATAAGCTTCCTCAGAACTCAGGATAGGGAAATCAAATATAGAGACTCTAGACAGGCTTGTTAATGGGGCAGGCAAAGAAACAGGAAGGGCCTCAGTCTTCTAGAAACCAAGAGTGTACCAACATTAGTAAAGTAACTAGTTTTGAGACTTGGACTCAGTAGGAGGATTTCACTCTGATGCAAAGGTGAGATGCTCCCACAAAATGAGAAGCTTTCTGGTAAGTTTGAAACAATGTTACAGGAATCATAGAATATTTCAAGTTGGAAGGGACCCATAAGCATCAATAAGGAAATAGCATAAAGCATTGCCCCAGTTATTAACCTGACCTACAGCTGAGTGAACTCCACATCTTTAAAGAGCTTCTAACCAGTTTAAATGTATCAAAGTACTGTAGAAGATGATGGGGTACACATTTGTGGTATACAAAAATCGGACAACATGTTGAATCTGAAGGTCTTCGTGTTTGATTTCTTTTATGGGCAAATGCAAGAGATCAAACACAAAGACCTTCAAGTCCTGAAAGGCAGAAGTGACTGGCAGCATACCAACATAAAAAGTAATAAATGTTATAGAATTATACTTACATTTTTTGCCGTCATGTCAGACAATATTGCTTTATATTCTGTAAAACCATAAGATATCCCTTTTCATCTTCACAGAATCTTTAAAATGAACATCCTGTAAGAAAGTTAATAAAATGTATTAGTTAAAATATATTTTCAGTTACCTCTCTAGCTGAAACGCTGCATCTCCAGAGGAGAGGTTTTTATTTTTTTTTTACTCTTTGATAAAATCAATCACCACAATAGTCAGGTTCTGCATGGATACTAAAAATAAACATTGCTTGGAATACACAGAGGTGTAATCTTATATATAGAGGCCCAACTTACATGGAGGCCTAACTATATTAATGTGCTAGCAAATCATGTCTTGCCATTACTAAACTCTTGTTATGAAAATCATGCAATCATTTGCATCTAATGTACATTGTCTCTAAAAAATGGAAGTGAATTCTCTCCACTGTGTCTTTAGCCTCCAACAACAGAGAAAGCTTCTAATTCCATCACTGCAGACATCCAAAAATCCTGACAAAAAGTAGGATATACTATGAAATGAATATACACAGCAAACATTAAGTACTTTTAGAAACATCCAAGAAAACACATTCCAGTTCAAACTAATCTTTTTAATATTTTCTGGCTTTGTTATTAACCCTATGTAATTAGAATTATAATGTTAGAATTCCAGGAAAAGACAAACATTTTGGTATACTGAAAAATCCCTAAAGCAACTTCTTTTTAAAATGAAGGCTTCCAGAAATCTTCCAGAAAACAGAAGAAAAGAAGTTACAACTCAATGCTGGCAGTACAAATCATTTTAAAGACGGAATTAACTTCACAAAGCTTTTAAGTACTTCAAAAGTACTTTATAAGTACTACTTGCTGTTAAAAAATGAACTACAAAAGACATCTGAATTGTGCTTGGATGTATAAGAGAGGGAGAATTGTTCACACTTTCAGGAGTGGAATCAATTCAGCGGTACCTTTTGGAAGATGCTTAAACTAGCTACCAAATATAAGTCACAACCATTTTCAGCAGAACTCAGCAGCTACAAAAGCAGGGTGCAATTCATGCTATTTCCTCTGTATTTTAACCTACACAAAGTTTGAGAACGGCCAGTCTTCACTTCCCTTCTAGAAAAGTGCCGAAAATTTTTTCATAGTTTAGTGTGCATAGCTAATGGGGAACTCTTCCATCACTGCATTAGTGGTTTTGGACAATCCAGAAGAATTTTAAATTCTAAGATGTTCCTATAGATTTCTTGGTTTATTCAGACATCATATCAATTAAACTGTTATTAGAGTTAGTGGGAAAACATTTTAATCAACTTAGAGATGTTCTCCATTTCCTTTTGAATTAGTTGTATTTATCTTCCTTAGTGCCTCTTTATCATAGCCATAATTAAGAAGCTACTCCAGCATATCAATACCACGTAATTCTGTTTACTGAAATATTCTCCCATGAAAACTTTAAGTGAAGTGTTTTTCTCTACCTTCAGAGAGGACACTACAGAGAGGTATATATTCACACCCTGGGGAAAGAGGCTACTGGATACGTGTGGCAATCCTGAAAGCTGAAGAGCCACAGAAAAGCCATAAAGCTACAGTGGCCATGGCAAAGAGCAAATACTGAATCCTTGCATCATGTCTGAAAATTATGATCAATGTGCCTTTTCTTTTTCCACCTTCCTCCTCCTTCCACAGAAACTCTCCAAATACATCATCTGGAGCTCTGGCCAAAATTCATGATGCAGTCTGACCTCCCTCTCTTGCTTTAAGAGGCTTTACAAGTAATTTACTCAAATAAAACATAGTTAAGAACACATTTGCTAAGCAGCTTTAACCCATTTAAAAATAAGCAAACTAGTTTCATCTTTGACAAGTTATTTGCTGTCAAGCTTAGTGATCCAGAAGGTATTGGCCATAAACTATTACAGTCCTTTGCCACAATGCTCTTCAGCCAGTAGGAACAGTTGGTATTCTTCCAGCTTTATGAACACATTTTGTCAAGCTCGAGAAGCCAGACTTTGTGACCCCACCATCTGCCATGACCTCTTGTCAGGTTCAGACAAAAGAACCTACACAGATGGCCTCAAAATGGAGATTCTCTTCATTCCCAATTGCTGTTTGACAGCTTGCACCACACAGATAGAGAAACATAAAACTCAACCTTTTTTTTCTTTAGCTACTTTCTACTGAAATGAAGCTGCATAAAGACAAGTTTAGAGTCAAAAGCATATGAGGCACAAAGATTGCTTTATTTGAACTAAGGTTGTCCCTTCATAATCTAAGAATTAGTTTATAATCCACTCCCCATAATTTTGCCTTTTGGTCAAATATTGTACAGTACAGGGAGCCAACTGAACTGTCTGACTTTGTAAACTTTGAGCTGTAGTTTCTCCTAGAACATATGTCACCTAATCACTTATGCCAATGACATTGAAAAGCCAGTTTGGGCATTAAATTTACAAAAGCCCAGATAATCAAGCTCTAGTTACAACAAAACAGTACAAGAGTGTTTACCTTTATCTATTCTCCTTAAAAGTTAAAAGCCAGATCTATTCTGAAGTTTCAGGGATACTGATGCTGAATCCCAGTACAAGAAACAATGTGAAACAGGAAACAAATATCTGCAGAAAAATATTATATTCCTTCATATTTTTATTTTCTATGGTCCAAAGTTTTATTTTTAAATTAGCCCTTTAAAATACACATAATAGTAGAAAAGAATAAAGCCCCTTACCATAACAGTCTATTTTCTGCCCCTGAAAATTAAGCTTTACCAAACTTAGCTAAAGAAAACCAGGGTTTCTCAAATTCTTACCAGTATTTCACATATCACACATTCATGTAGACTAGCACCACACAAAGATTCTCCCCAGTCCCAGAGGCCACTTCCGCTTCACAATGAAAGGTGTCATTTATGTAAGTATTACATCAATATCTACAAATTAAGACAACTATTGGACAGCTACCTAAATTGTTTATGATGAAAAGTCTTAATGACACAAGGAAAAAGCTGTAGAGATATTTTAGTGTACCAGAATGCTTTTTATCATCACCAGGAAATAATTTTTTTCATTTACTTGATCAAGAGTATTGAAAAGTGAAAATTATTCCAATTAACTGGGTCAGCTGAGAGGAAAGAAAACATCATCAGTTTCAAGAAAAAGAAATCTGTATAATGCCAGCCTGTCCACTAGAAATTAGTTTATGTTCTTCGCATCCCTCTCCATAGAACTAACTTTCCAGCTACAGTACTATAGAGCTGGTTTCAGAAGACAGCAGTAACAAAAAGATTCCTTATTAATCAGAAAAAACTCAGTTTTAAACCACTAATTTATGCTCAGCATCTACATGGATTAGACCACCTGTTACACATATGCTGCTTCATTGTGTCTCGGTTTTCAGACCAGTAAAAATTTCAAAATTAGGAAGTAGTTATCAGAAATCCACCTGCTCCCAGGAAGTGTTTCCCCATCTTGGATACTGAAGTGGTTTTTAGGCACAACTCCTTTTTAAAGCAACTGAGATAAAAAGAGTACCAGGTTTAATGAAAATATCTGTAGGGACTAGACAGATTAATTTCTTGATACACCAAGAAACAGAAATACAACTTTGTTATCAAATTTCTGAAATTTAAATTACAGATTTTGCATCTCTATAAGAAGATTCCATTGATTTGTCAACTTTTTTTTCCCCTGAATCCTCTTTAAATGACTTAGTCCCAGTTTTATTCTTTATTTATGTATAGAAGAAATAACTTTGGCCTACAAACTGCAGAAGACAGGAATACCCATGAGCATGATGCTTTAAACCAAGATGCAAACAGAAGATATAACTACCTGAATCTAATCTGAAAGTAGAGATCTCACCTAGGAGTTTGTGGGAACCAGCTGACACACAAGAAATCAGAAGGAACAAAACCAATTGACCAGGTTCTCATAAGTTACTGTGATTGAGCAAAATGCCAAAGTATCATCAGAACAAATTACCCGACTCCTCCTGACAAAAGCAGTAACTATATTTCAAGTTTACACAATAGAAAGAACCTGGAAAAACAGACAAGGCCTACATGCAAGCTTAGTTAGTATAAACTGTAGCACTTGAGCTACATAATGAAAATGAACATTTAATGTGGTTTGCTAAAAGTGTGCGAGGGGCAATGTCCCTTTATGAGCCTCACGCAGCACATATTGAGGCAACAAATGAATCCGATTCTTTCAATACTCTCGGACTTGATCCCAAACTCAACATCCCCATTACCCCCACTGTTCACTCTATTTACTCCCGCTGTTCCACATTCCCAAACTCAACATCCCCATTACCCCCACTATCCGCTCTCTTTACTCCCGCTGTTCCACACGTACGTGCCCAGCAAAAGCACTGCTGATGGAGAAGACTGAATATCCTGAATCCCAGGGATGAAAACGGGTCTGAGTGGACGTACAAGTGACGAGAGCACACAACACAGGAATAAAATCCAAAGCTGTAATCAATCTCTCCCCTAGATGAAAGTGTTCAGTCTCCATGCGATTAATTGCACTGCTGAGCCTCCAGTCCTGACAGTGCTGAGACTCAAATCCCATCAACCTGCAACTAGATATTCCTTCCCTCAAGGGACTCGGTTCCTTAGGCACGCTCTTAGGCATGCCCCATGTCATGCAAGTACTAGGGGTAAACTAAGAACAGGAGCAGCACTCACAGCTTATTTCAAAATCAATGAGGTGAAGTGTGTCCCTTATTGCTTAAATAAGGAGGACATTACATTAAACATGTGGAATAATGCCCAAGTACTTGAACCTTTGAAGGCTCTTTTAATTCCCCAAACCAGCTTACTGTCATTCAAGATAAAGTGCACAGGGCTTGACCATGGATAACACTTATGCAGCACTTAAAAAAGTAAGATGATGTAAAACTTTTTTTGAGTTTTACAGACAACTCACTTTATCAACACAGATATGCACAGATACGTTTGGAATTAATAAAAATTTAGCTGCAGTTCTTTCAAGTAGACAATCTATTTTATAAGCTCATCTTTTGTTCTCTAACTAGGTTTCTAGCCCAGGGTTTTTTCCACAGCTGACTACTATACAGGGCACAACATTTGGGAGTCTACTGCTTCAGTGGGAAGAGGCAGGTACAACTTCCTTTCTGAGTAAAGAGCACATTGTGTTTTCACAAACATATTTTTGCCTTAAGAAATTTAATTTTAGCAATGGGTTGACATTTGAAAAAAATTCAGTGATCTATATGACTGACTGTAAAATACCTTGGTAAGACAGTCTTTGTGCACTGCCAATAATACTCCTCTTTCAATTAAGCTCAGCTGAAAAGAGCATCTTTTTGACTACTGAGACTTCAAACAAGCTTCTTGCTACCACCAGCTCATATACCGCATGATACCTCAGAGAATGCTCTAGATATTAATCTGGTCTTGTAATGAGTTTTAACGTTGAGATTTTCAAATTTCCAGAGTTATCAGCACATTGACAAATACATGGAACAGTTTCACCATCCTGCTGAGATACACTTCTGTCTACACCCCGCAGCTGGAAGGACCTTATCATCCACTTAACTGAACATAATTTTATATTTCAATTTGATTAAAGATCACCAAGTTATATAGAGATAAAGAACTTGATGACGGAGGGTGGCTTAGTAATAACAATTTCCTACATTTTCCTTATAATTTGCTAGAAGCTTTGTTCTAGCTTAAACCCATTATTAACTCCAGTCTTGCATGAAGATCATGACAGTATTCACCGGAGGAAAAGTTACAAAAAATTCATACTTCTTTAGTTATAATTCAGTACAAAGGCAAAAAGGGATTCTTCTAGCGATGCACAAGCTCTCAAATACTGATTACAGCACACAAAATTACCTAAAGGGTGCAATTCCATGAAACGAGTTGCACTGACGTAAAATCCTACCACCGCCATTGTGCCAAAAAGGATCTTCCTCTTTTCCCTGCTTCTTTCACTTTCCTTTCCTCCTCCTTGCTATGTGCTCTCAACAACTCCCGTTTCCACCTGATCCCCTCAGTGAGCCAATTTAGGTCTGATACTGTCAGAATAGCAACAATGGGGCTCAAAGGGGGAAGAAGAAAGTCTTCCATATGCTGCAACGCCCTGACAGCTCAGATGACCATCTAGGCCTGTGCACAGGACAGGACTGACCCTTCAGATTTAGAAAGCTTTTTGATCAGTTCAGCCTGGTTTGCAGAACCACATCATGACTCTGTTTCTGAAAAAAAGCATTTATGATCTCCTGAAAATTTATTTATGGGTTGAAATGTGGCAAAAAGTTGGCTATGGTTTGCTTGTATGAAGACTACTCCACGCTTTTTAAGAATTCACTGGAGTGTGTGCAAGCTTCAAAAATCCATTAGGAAGAAGTGGGATGTTTTGTCTTCAGATCATAGCTTTCCCAATTTCTTATACAGCGAGAAGCAGGATGAATAATTTGCTTTTGATGGACAGCTGAAGCCTGCTGTTATACAGAATCAATACACAGCTTGAAATTTTGTCAATTCTGTGCATGAAGTTATTGATTTTTAAAAATTGTTTAAATGTATTTGCAACTGTAAGTTGAATTTTAAATAAACTGAATCTTATGGCAATTGGATTGCACATTCAAGAGAACAGAAATATATTTCTCAAGTCTCAAGGTGAAGTTTATAATGAAAGGAAAAGCTACCCAACTCTTTCCTTACAATAAATGGAGAGCCCAGGCACACAAAAGTTTTTGTTTTCACTCTGGGGACATAACTTCACTTTCACTTGCCGTTCCTAATCTCATTCATCATTATTGGTCATGTTACTACCATAATCTCTACGACATGTCAATTACAGTTATTCTGGTAATTACAAGTATTGCTTATATGGGAAAGGTTTAATACTTGCATGACTGTGATGGTTTACAAGTGATTTTTACCACGTTAATGCATTGACATTCACAAGCCTTAAGGAGCATATACTGATACATTTGCTTTAAGTCTTTAGTTCTCACAAATATGATTACAATAGCTCCTACCAAGTTGAAGAATTCATCCATACAACTTCACTACAAGTTCATAGTCTTAAAGACAGTGTGTACCCGTAGCAACGTGCCAATTTCATTCTGAACACGAGACCTTATTTTTTCTTTATTTTTTTCCACTTACATCTTGGGCTGAAATTCCCAATAACAAAACAGTGAATGAAAATGGTCACTTATTCGCGCAGAACACATCTGCTAACACCTACCATGGGGAAATGGATTATGAGTTCCTTTCAAAGCAACCTTTTCACGCACCCTGCAGATGATATAGTCACCCGACAGAGGTTAGTAAGGGATTCTGTTGAACAAAAGAACTACAAACATTGAAAGACAGAACTGAATCATTTGCTATTCCCACACAAACTGAGACAAACCTGGCAGCAATAGGAACCTGATGAAACAGGACAAACCTGACCTGCCAAACCGAGGAGCGTGCCCTAACTTCCACAGGAAAAAAAAGAAATAAAGCTTCAAGACCAGAATTACATTCACCAATCGACTTTGGTCTATAGAAGTTAACAAAAATTCCATGTTCAGGAGACAGGCACTCCATTCACAGATGGGAAAGGATCAGC